CATCCAAAAGTACGAATGTTTACAGAAGTGTGCAGATGAAACAAAGGATAAACAAAGTTTTAATAACTGTCAATTAGGACTTTTGCTAGTGAAGTGTATGTGAGATTAGACAATTAGATTTAAAAAAATTGTGGAAACCTATAAAACAGTGGCAAAAATTGGGATACACTAAACAGATTATATAAGCTAAATTTTGTTACTGAATAAAAATCATAAAACTGCACCTTAATTTATTTAAATCTAAAGTGGTTTTTAAATTTAATAAAATTTTCTTACCGAATTTAATTTAATTCCTTCTATTCTATTTACCTCAATTTTTTTCTATTATTACTTCCAAGTGTCTGTGATTTTTTTTAAAAAAAGAGTGTTAAATAAGAACGAGCAGTTCCACATTCCATTAGTGAGTTTGAGAAATATTTTTGATATCTAAATGAATTTGTTACAAGTCTGTGATTTGTTTTTAGAAGATAGTTTCAAGATATCCTATCAAGATAGGACCAGCTGATTTATCTGGCGAAAAGGTAAGAGATAATTCAATTTATTAAATGATAAATTTAAACACTCTTTCTTGCTTAGCAAAAACAAGATGAAATTTACTAAAATTCTCTAAATTGTCTTGTATATTTTAATACAATAATTTTGAATATTTTGAACTCGCCCTTCTATATTTTGCCTAATGCAATACATGGATTCGGGACACTTTCATACATTTTTTGAAATAATTCAAAAAGTTTGTTTTGGGCACTCTTTTAAGTCTTGCTTAGCAAAAACTAGATAAAATTTACTAAAATTTTGTATAAATTGTTTTATACACTTTGATACCAAATTTTTAAATATTTTGAACTCGCTCTTCTATATTTTGCCAGAGCAATAAATGGATGCTGGACACTTTTTTGCATTTTTTGAAAAAACTCAAAAAATTTGTTTCGGGCACTTTTTTATATTTAGCTTAACAGAAACTAGATAAAATTTACTGAAATTCTGTATGAATTGTCTTATACACTTTGATGCAATAATTTTGAATAGTTTGATCTCGCCCTAACGAATCGAATGTTTTTGAATCATTCAAATCGGTTGACCCGTGCTTCCGAAACGGGTCACAACGAACAAACACTAACATTTTTACCGATGCAAAAATTTCTATTTTCAAAAAATGTATTTTTATATATGTTGAAGTCTTATTTTAGTATATTTTCATTACATTATTTCAAAATTTGACAATCAAAATATTGACGATTTCATGTCACGGAGCAATTGTGCAAATGTTTGACATTAAAACGATATCTGATCTACAGTTCCGTGTGCCAATATTATTATTTACCTCTCATAAAATATAAAAATTATAATTGACATGTTTACAATAATTCTAAAAAAAACATGATTAAAAAAACAAAATTGTAATAAAATATTATTAAAACTTAGATGTCATAAAATAGGGTCTCTAGTATAAAACGCCTGATCGCACAGCAAATACATAGATCTTTAATAAGATAATTTAATAAGACGTTTCTACCAATTCATACGAAGATGGACCCTACCATAGTATTATTAGTAATTTTTCAGAATTTTTGGTAAAAAAAATTGCGTTACTAAATTCAACATTTCTTTTACAAGCAGAAAGTTTTTTGAACCAAGAATCTTGAAGAATTATAGTACGAAACCGTGACTAATAAAGATTCTTTATTTTAATTTTTTAGTTGGCTCAATTAGCCAATTTTTCCTTAATCTACTTATCAAAGATGATATTATTTTTTTATAAATATTAAAGTATTTACACAACTTGATCACATTTTATTTAAAATGAGAAGGAACGCGATACTTAATGTAGAACCTGGGAGAAAATGCTTCTTTGGGAATTTCTTTGATAATAAAATGCATTCTTGTATATATATATATATATACATACAATACATACATACATACATACATACTATATATATATATATATATACATACTTATATACATATATGCATACATTTTTTGATGTATTATGCGCAATATGATACTAATGCAATTCCGTCTGCAAAAAACGCTTCATGCAATTATACATGTATATATATATATATATATATATATATATATATATATATATATACATATGAGTCTAGAAACATCTTAATTAACTTTAATATACGATATATCAAGACTTGCTGACTAATGTAAAATACTAGCTGTAAGTGGAATTCTGTCTTAAGGCAATTAAGGCATCGTGCCTCAAGGCAAATTGCTGGAACTTCCCGTACAAAAATTATTATTTTTTTAAAAACGATTAACATTTTTGAAAAAAATTTACTTCGAAAAAATAAGATTTTTGACAAACAATTAGACAAAAAATTACTTTTTTTGAAAAAGAAAATTTTTTTTTTTTTAATTTTTTTTTTTAATTTTTTTTTTTTGAAAAAAAATGTTTTCTTCATTTTGACATATTTTGAAAGATCTAAACTTTTTTTCAAAGCAATCGTACTGCTTTAACTGCATAAAGACGAAATATCAAACCGCGTAAGCGCCGCGTCGACGTCTAACGCGTAAACATTGGTACGGAACCCATAGGAATGTAAGCCAAAATTATACTTATTGTTAAAATCTCTATAAAATATCTCATAATTTGATGTGCATATGTCTAATGATCATTTTTGACCGCCAAATGGCATTTTTTTTTACTTTTTTTATTAGATCTCCGAGACCGCTGGACCTGCCTTTATAAAAATTTGATCGGTTCTTCACCTTATCAATACAAGTAAAATGTTTTTTGAATTATCAAAATCGGACGCTCCGTTCTCTTAAAAACTGAGTTACCGTTTTCGGCACTTTTTGCCCCGTATCTTTGGAACGGCTAGACCTGACTTCGCCAAAAACTAATCAGCACGTCTCCTTATCAATACGAATCGAATGTTTTTTGAATTATTCAAATCGGTTGATCCGTGTGCCCGAAATCGTCGACGAAAATTTGTATCCGCACATACATACACACACGTATACATACATACATACATTACATACATACATACATACACACACACACACACACACACACACATACATCCATTTTTTCTAAGGTATGCCAAAATATTCAGAAACCTCTGAAACGTAAAGATATATAAAAATTTCATTTTCGATTTTTTTGCGATTACTATAACTTCCCTACGGGAAGTTAATAAATCAACTATTTCCAACAGGAGAAAAAGCGGAGACGTATATTTATTACTATATACCTTTGTAGAAGGTATCTTGTAACATTCCTTTATAAATATCGATAGTAAGAAATAATTTAATGACATTTATATAATACATAAATATAATAATTAATTTGCTTGTGCAAAGTAATATTACTAAATTGAAAGTGTATTTTTATAAAGTAAGGGGTAGCAACCATTCCGTGTAAAGCTTAATGCCCTGAAGGTTGTCACCTTCATGGTAAATAAAATAAAACGAAAATACGTCCGAACAGAAAGAAATGTACTTTAAAATACATAATAAGATCTGTATCATCTCTATTACTAATATCTATATTTTCTTAATCTTGTCTTAATATATTCATTAATCCAAACTAATATCAAAGTGAAAATATTTAATCTCGAAACTGATATCAAATTGCTAGAAACTTTCTTCTGATCAGAACATTGGACATTAT